TCCAGATTTCATGAACATAGGTGAGGGTAGGAATGTAGACCGACCGGTAAATTGAGAGCTTTTGACAGGGCCCTGATCGTCTCCGTTGAAGCTAAAATATTGTTGAGTATTGTCACTGCTTCTGTGAGGTGTTCTGTGGGTCGCTGAGCAGCCATCGATGGGTTGACTGGAGACTGCACAAAAAACGCGCGTTTTCAACTGAAATCCCTTCCTTTTCAACTGAAATGCCTATTTTTATTTTTTTTTTTTCATAGCATAATCATAAGCATAATCTAAGGTACCTCTGTAACAAATTCTGGTATTTTACCAAGTCATAGCTCATAACATGAAATAGAAATAAAAAGAGTGGCAATTAAAAACCCTCTTAATGTCGCTCATAATACAATTAGAAGCTATCTTTTAGGAAATTTGAATCAATAAACAATATCTTTTTTTATCAAACATGTTTTACTGTGATAATTTTATGGTATTTATTGTTTTTTTCCCCCAGTGATACTTCAAATGCCATCACCCACTCCAAGTAGGTCATACTTTCTTCTTTCATTGGTATTCGGTCAAAGTACTTTTTGCTGCTTCTCATCTGTTTCAATCTTTGCAGACCATGGCATAGTTTCCAGACATTGGCTCCACTCAGGTTTAACAGCTGTGCTAGTCATTGCTGGGATTGCAGTTGGAGCTGGCTTTACTTTCTTCTTGTTCAAGAAGTCTGGTCATCATACAGTATATCACCAATATCAGGCTTTGCTTCCTTTGAAATCCCATTTTTAACCTGCAACATATTGCAGCCAGGTTTGGTGAACAGTGAAAACCTGGTGGGGAGGGCATATTAAGATGATCCTCAGCCTGTGATAAGTATATAACATTGAAAAACAGCAAAAAAAAAAGAAGATAATAATATTCTGCATTTGTGGTGTTTGGAATTCATAAGAAGCGAAATTACAAAAATAAAAATCTTAAAAGAAAGAAGGTAAAAACATCAAGCTCAAGTGTATTAATTACACAGAGCAATTTAGCTTTAAATTATTTTCATTCATTTTCAAAAATTTATTTTACTGTAAATGGTTGAAACATCCGGGGGTAAGTGGTTACATTTACTCACACTAATGTAATTAAGTATAGTTTTTCTGTTCTTTCTACTTTTTAATAGACTTTACAAAAGCTAACCCTAACCCTATATATTTTGCTTAGGTAGGACTTGCATGTTACTGAGTTGTATAACAGAAATCAAATAAAAACTGTATATTTTTTATGTGATTACCTGAAATAAAGCTATTCATTCATTTTCACTGTAGAGTATTCAATCATTTAAGAGGAACAGTATTTGTTGCTTCTCTATCCATTGGTGAATATATATGATGACTACATGCTAGATGCAAGGCTCACTCTCTAGATGATGTGTATTGTTTTTACATTTTGTAAAAAAAAAATATTAAACCTTTCCACATGTATCTTTTTTTTTGGAAAATAACCATATCAGTCCAATAATTAGTGATGTTTTTCAAACACTTGTTTTATTGGTCCACTGTGACCATATTATAGGAATATATCCAAATATCCCATTAACGCATAAAGCACAGTTATTTTACTATCATACATTTTAATCAAAAAACAATGTTTAGACAGATTTTCTTTTGCGGGTACTTTATACTTTCTCTTTAATATTTTATTGTGATATTGAGGTATTTTTGTGTTTAATCAGAGCCCAGCATTTTAACTAGGAGCCTTTTCTTCTTTTTTTTCTGTGAAAGTATTGCTTGATTTAATATTATTAGTGTTTATTCCTTTAAAGCTTCTCAACATTTTTAATATGGTTTCATAATGACTAACAGTCTTGATTTTCAAAAAAAATTTTAAAAATGTTTTTTAAAAATGTAAATTTTAACTTTATGAATTCATTTTCAAAGACCAACTTTAACCTAATACAAATCAGCTTACGCAATAAACTGATTGTACTGTTGTGAAATAGCTGCTAAAAGGAAGTCTTCAGAATGCTGACAATGATTTTATCTTACTTCTCAGTAAAACATTTCATGAGGCACAGTTTAAACCACAATGAGTGTCAACTGCTGCTTATTTAGAAATTTGATTTCTAATAACTGCTTTTACTTCACTGAGGATAAATATTGGGTTTCACTTTGGAAAAAAAAAAGCAAAAACATGCATGAATTTTTTGCAAACAGACCATAAAAGGTAGGTTTCAGGTTCAGATCCTTAACAGTCAACCTTTGTTGCAAGTTTCCTCTCTCACTCATTCCAACTTCATGTTAATTTACTCTCAAATAAAGACTACCAGAGGAATAATAGCAAAAAATTCTCACATTAAAATAAGCCCTTCATTCTCCTTCAAAATAAATAAGGCGCAATTTAGATCAGGTGTGTACAAAGATCTGCTCTGTTTATTTCATCTCTCTAGTAATGCTCAAATGTTTTACTCAAGCTCCTTTATGTTTTGGTGATGTCTTACCTTTTAGCTTATTTCTTGCTCCTAAGAGACCCAGCATTTTAAGATCAGTGGTTTCAAAAAAATCACTGATCATAAAATTATGGATATATGAATATGAAACTTATGTTGATCTCAACAAAAGCTATCTTTTTAGATTTTCTCTAGTCTCTTGTTAAGAAGCCAGACTGTCCATCTATGCAGGCTTTGCCACTCCCTGCCCAGAGAGACTTTAGTATTTTAGAAGCAATATGGAGGCTAACGTTTTTAGCGGGTTGAAAAATTCACCCAAATACACTAATTTCACAAAATAAAGTTCTCTTGCTAACAGCATTATGTACTTTTAGATTTACCCAGCAGTTATAAATGGAAAGGTAATGTGTTTTTAACAGTGGACCTAGCAGCCGGCAGGTAAGCGAAAGCAGCTGATTAAAGAAAAAGGTTTTTATCACCAAAGAAATATACATTTACAATAACATCAGGGAAGGCAATAAACAAACAGTATTGATCAATGAGAGCTGAATGAAGCAGGCAAACACAGCCACCGTCATCCATCACAAGTTTGTGTCATGTAAGACATGGGAGATTAAAGCTGTTCCACAGCATTCATAAAGAAGGGGCTGTCTGCTTACATTAACAGATCCTGTACATAGCAAATTTAGTGATAAATAAAGGTGCGAACATGAAACATTGTCAATGACTAGATAAGAACTATAGATCAAAACAAAAAATAGAAACACAAATAAAAAATAAGGTAAAATATACATCTTTAGAGAGCACACTGAATACCAACCCCCACAGGAGGAATATAATTAAAAGTCCTTCATTCTTTGATGAATAATAACAAACATTTTTAAATGACAGAAACATAACTGTAAGAAAAGTATGTGCATGGAGATGCAGCATACACATAAAGTAAAGCTTGTGACAGAGCAGTCTATGAAACGGTCTGGTGGTCTATTTAATTGTCAGCAGGGATAATCTTGTTTGTTTGTGTCTTAGGAAGTCTTGGAGGTAAGATGGGACGTCATTGTCTGGCTGCAGTGGGGTGACTGTTTGGAAAGCTTTAGGAGAACAAAACAGATTTTAAAGTATTTTTGTTTTTATTTAATATTCGTATTGTTTTCCTGATCGATGTGGGGCATATGGTGAGTTGCTTGGTTATGATGTGATATGCAGTTTTTCATCTGGACCATCTGATACCAGATTTGGTAGATGTCTCTACACAATCCCCAGCGCTGTCATCATCAACCAGGTTAAGGTCATATAGTGGGTTTTATCTTGTTGCTTTGAACTGTTCTTTAAACATCTGGAGCTTGGTCCTTTACCACAAGTAATAATCAGGAAAGCAAATTAAATTATGGAGAGCACTCTGAGGAAACTTTTCAGTTTAACAATCGACATGCTGTTAAGCATGAGGTATCCTAAAGGCCCTTCTTTTGCAACCGCAGAAAGTCAGTTTGTCTGCGGTCTCGGTTTAAGTACGTATGTATTTCCCTGTAGACTTGTCCCTGTTGTTCCTGTAGACCATCTGAAGTCACAACTTTATAGTCCCTTCCTTCGAACCAACAGCTCATTCAAGTGACGGGAAATGTACTTCCCTGTTTGTGAGAAGAGAAAAAACCAAACAAATCTGGGACATAATGCTGACTGATTAGAAAGAATGAAAAAAAGGGATCCGATGACGTAGGTAGCAGGAGGCATCAGTGCAAATAAAAGCCCCCTACTTCTTCATATAGACCAACAAAACTCAGCAAAGGGTGCACACTTTGGCTGAGGAAAAATCTCTGAAAATCATGAGAGTCATATGGATGATCTTTGCGCTGCTACTAAATATTCTGCAGTGCATGGCATCAGACGGTGCAGTATTCCAACTTTTATTATTAATGTTTAACTTTTTTAGATTAAGAGAAGCATATATGTCTAATTATTATATATTTGGTTTGCGCTTAATGTAAAGTGAAACATCTTACTGATAACATAAAAATCTATTTAATTTTCACGAAGACAAATTCTCTTTGCAGATTCACCATTCAAGCTTAACAACAAAGCTGGTTTTTGCTTGGTTAAACATGATTCTATTTGCCAAGAAATACGCTGGACAACTGCTGGACGATTGCTGGTACCTGGGAAAAATAAATGCCTGGGAGTCGAGGGAGACACTGTGGGGAGCAAAGTAACCTTTTATGACTGTGATGAAACAAGTAAATACCAAAAGTGGGAATGTAAGAATGAAACGCTGCTCGCCCTCCAAGGCCAGGAGCTTTATGTTGAGCTCAAAGCTGACAGTACAGCCGTACTATCGAGAGCAACTGGACCCAACTCTCAGCTCACAATCTCAGGGACTCACAGTGGACCATGCACTAGAACACATAGAGGTATCCAACTCCATTGTTTACAAGAATGGAGTAACTTATTTATATTTCTCTCTGTACGTGTGTAAAACTATATGTATATAAATATATATATATTGTTTTTAATGTGTTTTTTTTTTTTTTAGAACTTTTCACTATTGAAGGAAATGCCGCAGGAAGGCCTTGCATGTTCCCTTTCTATTATAATAACCAGTGGTACTCAGACTGCACTTCAGAAGAGCGTCCTTGGTGTGCTGTTGAAACTAAATACGAACATGAGATGTGGGGGTACTGCCCAACAAACAGTGAGTCATGAACATTTTTTTCCTAGTAACAATAGGAGATGACCAAGTTTCCAATGTATGTTTTTGTGCTAATTTACACCAAATGATCATTGATAAATCACCATAGGTCTTAAAATGTAACTCGATACAGCTTTATAGAGATGCTGATTTAATTTCTAGTAGGGCATGGTAGTGCCTACATTGCTAAAAGAATACTAATATCCATTTTAAAGATCATGGTATCACTCAACTTTATTGTCAAGTGAATAATAATCACCTTTATTGGTCATTGCAATTGCATATCACAAAATAAATGCTTTTAACCAATCCTTTAGGGAGCAGTGAGCAGTGAGCAGAGCTTGGGGAGGATTGTGGGGTTAAGGGTCTAGGTCAGGGATCTAGACTGACAGTCTTATGGTTCCAACCAGCAATCATGCTGCAACTGACATTCCAAATAACTACCTACACTTGATTTTGTTTCACCCTGTTTATAATAAATCTATTAAATGTAAAAAATAAATAAACTTTTTGTGTGGGGTTACTGAAATAACTGAATGTTTAATTGATATTGAAATGTATTTAGATTCACCTGTATATAATGTTTTGCAGCTAAGGACAAGTGGATCAGACATCCAACAAATGGAGCAGTTTATCAGCTGAACACAAACTCTGCTTTGACATGGTGGGAGGCTGAAAAAAGTTGTAAGCAACAGAGTGCCTCCTTGCTCAGCATCACAGATCCTAATGAGCAGGCTTATATCACAGGTACAGCAACTTATGAGATGAACTAAAACTTTTAAGCAACTAGGAATGAATTATGGAACCTCAGACAGGTAAATATATAGATGAGCTTCATTTTGTCTCCCTTTTGATTCTTTCTCACAGCTTTACTCGAGCCAGGAGGTATCCACCAAGGATACAAACTTTGGACTGGGTTAACCTTGGATTCTGAAAATGGCTGGAAATGGACCAATGGGAGCCCATTTCGTTACTTAAATTGGGATTCAGGTTTATATATATTTTTTTATCATTTCCTATATTCATGATTTTAAGTCATAATGTAAGCTTAAAACTGCAAATAGAAAATATTGAATCAAAAATGGCAAGAAGTGTATCATTTCTGTCAAGAGTAAGGCATTATTATTATTACTAAGGCACAATTCATTAGTCCTTCATTGCATTAGTTATTGCATAGAGGTTTGGCGTAATACGTACAAAGGTAATCTAGATTAATCAAACTTCAGAAAAAAGCCATATGAATCACTCATAATGTTGTATACAGTGATTATATTAATAGACGTTTCTTAAAATCTCACATATTGAAACTCAAAGACTTAATTACATTTTTTAATTCTTGCTGTAGTGTACAATGCAAGCCTTGATCCACTTCCTTGCAATATACAAAAATGTTAAACAATAGAGAAGGGGAATTACAAACTGATAGGAGAATATGTGTTGAGAAGATGTGGTTTACACTTAAAAGTTTGGGGCTTAGCCAAGCAGGGAATATTTTGTGGAATGGGTTAGATATAGAACTCAATAGGAGTGACAATCTCAGACAGTTCAAAAGCAAGTATAAATTTGTTATCTTACAAAAATATGAATCTAACACAAGAATTTCTATGTGATCATTTTAAAGATTTTTTTATAATTAGTGCTGGAAGTCTACCTACTTCTTTTGAGCTCTTCTAACATGTCTTAACATCTCAATCTAAATATTTCTGGTATTGCTTAAAAAAGGTATAAAGAATTACATTTGCAGTTGCTTTCACAATCAGCTTGTCTTTACCCTTTTAAAAGCAAGTATTGAAACATCCTAGACCTTAACTTAGCACATTAAAAAATCCTAGTAAGAATGAAATGTAATAATAGTTACATTTACTTGAATAAATCTTTTCAAAAAGAATGCTTTTAGGAGTACTTTACTGCATTGTAATTTATACCTTTACTTGAGCAAAAGCTCTGGCTACTCTACTCACTGTAAAAAACTTCACTGAATAAATACAGACTTGTTTAACACAAAATCTACCAGTTATTAAGACTTATATTTTATGTCAAAGGGATAATTCTTGCTGTATAAAAGCTTTGTTGATTTAATATAATTCTTCGTCAGTATAGTCAACTTTTAATTTTTTTGTTTAGTACATGATTCAGATGTTATGATCAGTTTTTCATTACTTTTGTAACTTTTTTTACAGAACTCCTTTTTACCCCTTAGCTTTTATTTCTTTTTACTTAATAAGTTTTTTGAACAATGGCTACTCTTAGTTGAGGACAATCTTTGGCTACTCTGCATGTTGCATCATAATAATGCTGCCTCATAGCTATGGTTGTCTATCCTGGTGGTTTTAGGACATCCACTTACCAATGCAGCATTTAGCTGTGGGTTGATGGATGGTGCTTTAAGATACTCATGGCAAAGTTCAAAATGCAACAAGAAACTGGGCTACATTTGCTACAGTGAAGGAGTTCTACCTTCTCCAACTGAAGGTAACTAATAGTCTAATTCCATTATCTAAAATGAATAAATGACACTGCCAAACTTCCTTAAATGAATATTGATATTTTTGCATATCTTCAAATCAGGTCTTGACATGGGATTCTGTTCAACACCATGGATTCCATACAATGGTCACTGCTTCCGTCTTGACCGCACTGGAAAAAGCTGGTCTGATGCTCAACAAACCTGTCGTAAGGAGGGAGGAGACTTAGCGAGTATCCGAAACACAGAGGACCAGAGTTTTGTTATCTCTCAGCTTGGATATGGTACCCTTATTTTTATACTGGCCTTTCAACTTTGAATACCGCAATTCAACTTTTTCTTAAAACAGCTAAAATAAACATGCATTTATATCCTTTTCATTATTCCTTTAACCTCTTTAAAACCACCGGTTGGATGTTAAGTGGGGTAAATGCATAAAATTCCACCAGTAACATTTTTACCAATATAGAAAGGTTATATTCTCAACAATTCAACCACCAAGTTTATTTTGTGGACATAGTGAGCACCAAAGCACAATAAACACAGATATAGCAGCATGTCATAATGTAAACTTGACAAAGCAGACACAACATACCTTTGAAGGCATCCAGAAGCCCTTTTACAGCATCATAAATGTTCAAAATTAGCATACATATTGAAGATGATTAAGTCATACAATGTACTGATTATACAGTATATATTATTTTAAAAAAACATTTTATTTGTTCTGTCTGTAGCCCCAACTGACGAGCTTTGGATTGGACTTAATGACATAAAAAGAGAAAGGTTGTTTGACTGGACTGACCACAGCAAAGTTAGCTTCACCAGCTGGGAGTTTGGAAGACCAGCTGCTGCATCAGACCATGAAGACTGTGTTCTGATTAGGGGAGAGGTATAAAATATATTTTTTTTATAAGAAAATGTGAAATACGATGGACCTGCACTCTCTGCTCTGATCTGCTGTGATAAAAAAAACACAAAAAAAACAGTTTGAAATGAAGGAAAGACAGTAGATGTATAGATGACAATTTGTAATTTTTTTATATTATGTGTTTCATCTTAGAGTTTTGACCTATTGTTGTATGTGAAATAATACACATGGTAACATTTTCCCCCGCTCTTTTATGTTAAATGTTTTTAAAGTTGGAAGGCTTCATGAACAGAAAGATTTGAAGTAGGTAAATTTCACAGGGTGAAGTGAAAATGCATATGTAATCTAATATGTTTAAAATTTTACAGTCTAAGATTATTGCATTATTCTTATGTGAAATATGCTTTGATGTGATAGCCTCTTTTTAAATTGAACATTTTTGTGCATATCCTTCCTGTAGAGTGGAAACTGGGCTGATCGGGACTGTAAGGAGAAACATGGCTTTGTTTGTATGAAAACCAGTGCTTCTGAACCCTCTAAAGAAGAAGGACAGCAGGATACAGGGTGCAAAGTTGTGAGTATAATTTTCATCACTGAAAATAAATATATTTTGAAATTTTATCCTTTATTTTATTGTTTTATTTATTTAAGGAAAGTGGAAAAGATAAGAAAAACAAAACAAAACAAAAAAACCAACAAAAAAAAAAAACAGTTAAATAATTCCTCTGATCTAGTGCCAGAAATTCATGGAGCACAGTTATTATAGTGGAGATTTTTACTAGACATTTAAAGATGCCTGTTTGAAAACTTATATATTTATATATATATATATAT